TTTATATTCTTTGCATGCAAATCTTCATGCATATCTGCCAAGTGTTTTTTATTCCAATGTTGTTTAAGCTGATAAGTGCTTTCAAGGATCTTTGAGAGTTGGCACTAGCATCTAACTGACAAAAAAGCTGTGTACATGTCGTACAGTATAAAACACTTAGGCTATTGTATGTGTTGCTGCTGTGAATGTCAGCTGCTATTAACCCACAACAAACCTAATAATGAGCAATGCAAAATGTTATCTCTTTATTGATTTCATTAGTCGGACATTATTTTGCAGCAAAAGATAAATACTGTTATTCGACACTGTAGCAAAGTATGCTTTACATGGATTAATTATCATAGACAGCTAACCCGTACTTAAAAGTAAGCGCTAATGCATCATCTATTTTACATACACTTTTACAATAATAATATTACACCAGTAAACAAAAAAATACTGTTTCTTGCCGCTGTAAAGTCATCCCCAAGCAGCAACACTCCGACCCTCATTGCTCGTTTTCCCTCCGTTTGTTCTCCATTCCCTGGCATGTTTTGTTGAGGTTGTACCGAACACAAGCAGTAATGTTGAGTAATGAGCGGTAACAGGCGTGAAACTAAATAAACACCCTTAGTCTGACACTTTTTACGTGCTCCAGCTTGTGAGCCTATTTTTGCCTGCGTCAACAGCACAGTGATTTTCTGCAGTGTGGTTCGTCGTGCTGAGAGCAGCACTTAAAAGGCACCATCAACGCCTGGCTTGTTCTTTTTTAGTGTAACACTCCACCACCTTTTTTGTGTTGGAGTTGTAATGAAGGCACTTGAATATTCATTGTGTTTTTTGTTGTTGATCAAAGGTGCATTTAGTCACCACAAAACTGGCACCACGACTATATTTCCCGCCCCATAGTAGACGCTCAAACCATTTAAATCCCAATAATTCTCAGTGAAGGGAGCCACTGTGCTGCCCCAGTGCTGTACAGAGACTAATGGGGGGGGTTACAATCAATTGGTGCTCAGTATCATTCCTGGTGTGTCATGCCTTCAGGCTGCTGTGAAAGTAAGGCAGGTACCAGTTCAGTCAAAGGGACAGTTTTTGCATTGATCACTCTTATTTTACGTTCACAATTAATCATATGTTGTGGGGGGTCAAATTATGGTAATTAAAGGTCCCCTATTATACTGTTTTTCATCAATATATTATAGTTCTCAGATATACTGTATACAAACATTTCTCTGAAGTGTTTGGCTCGGAATAGCAAACAGATCATACATTGTAGCTTCCCATAATCCCCTCTGTTTCACCCCTGTTTCCAAAGTGCTGATTCTCTGTCTGTTACTTGAACAGACTTGAAAAATAAGGAGCCCCTCCCCACGCCCCTCTGAGAGATATTAGGTTAAAAATAACTCAATGGTAATGGTGCTCTAGGAGGAGATTCAGGTGATAAGGTGGGGGGGGGTACCTTGGTTGCTGATTGGCTAATGGTTACACAAGCCAAAACATCGTGATGACATCATAAAGTGGCCAAAATCGGATCAGCTCATTTTCAGATGAGAAATGGATCAGGACAAAAAGAGAGATAATCTTTTTTCCTGAAACTTTCAGAGTCTCTTTCCACAGAGGGGACACATATTGATGTATAAAAGACATGAAAAAGTGGATTTTGCATATTAGGTGACCTTTAACTCTGAACGTAATTTTCTTTCAGCTTCTTTTAGCTAATTGTTTTGATTTCCAGCCTATCTTTTTACGGTCAGTACTGTCATAATTCCTTGTAGACAGCCATTTTGGAAAAAATCCAAATGACAAAAGAAGCAATTGATGAAATTAATTGTTTTGATTTACAGTATACACGATAACTACTCACATCACATCCAATAGGCATTTTATTTAAGCAAACAAAAAGCATAAAATGACCCCCAACTCTATCCTCAGTAAACTTCCCCTAGCTATTGTTTTTGTTATAAAGCCTACACATTTACCGAATGGTTACCTCTCACTACTCTCGTTATTCCCAGTAGGGAACCATTTCAGCAAAAAGCAACAAAAAAAAAAGAGCATCTAGCATCTATTAATTCCTATACAATTGTTTGCACATTAGTTATTTGTTGGTGGCTGCATTAGCTTTTCTGTTATTTGCTTCTTACCCCAACACTGAATATTGTAACATTTCCTTCCCATCCAAATTGGCATTTATTTTCTTTTTTTCCACACAAAGCACAATTGGCTCGCCTTTACTCTCACAGCGTGTTAGCAATAGTAGCCATATGCCAAAGCTCTTTTAATTATCACACATTATCCCAGAGCTGTCACAAAGTAATAGCAGGAGCATTAGCTCAGGCTTGACCTTTTCATCCCGGAGATGAGCAGAATCACAACGGGTAACTTTAACATGCCAACATCTGTGAGACATCATGGAAACCCAGATCACCGCCTGAACACGCACAGAGGTAATTAAGTTATTTGGCAACGGACCCTATAACTTGTCTCAGACACAACACAGCGCGCAATTTACCTCTTTCCTCATGCCTGGGGATTCAATACCACCATGCCTTTGTAGTCTGGCTGACCATGACTCTCCGTGTAACAATGAATATGTTGTGTAATCTTCAAAAGTAAGTCAGTTATAACATTTTATGAATTATTAATAATGGCCCAATTTCCCCGTTTGGTCTGGCCAGATTTTGGCTGTATCAATTATCTGGAATGGGAAATATCTCAATCCAATCCCTATATCTGAGTTATTGTGGCTACTAAAGTTAAAGCAATGATTTGTGGCAGGCAATGTGCTCAAGAGCTATTTTATTTTATGAATTCTATTCAGTTTTGTAGCTCTGGAGTGAGCGATAAAACATTATGTATCTATAAATTCAGTTTGATTCTTAGTAGGCACTGTTCCGAATTTGTGGAATTTGATATTGAAAGTGACGAGGTATTAAAGCAACTGACCTGGTTGTGTACTCGCTCACAGCTTTTATCATTCAAAGGCGATGTCACACCGGTAAGTGCGAGGAATGTAGATAGAAAGGCGGAGGCTATGATTATTAACATTCTCCGAGGTAGGGCCACCAGTGAAGGCAGCGCTACATCATCCACCCAGAGATGGATGAGGGGAGCGGGGGCCAAGGAAAACTAGGCCTTGTTGAGCCCACAGAGTAGCATCCAAAAAAAAGCCAGCCCAGGAAATTATCACATTGCGCCACTTAAATACAGCTTAATCAATTGTGTGTGTCCTCAGCCTGTTCCTGTAGGCTTTTTTGTTCTGCCTCTTAGCCCAACACGTTCCAAAACAGAGCACTCAGTCGCTCATTTTCATGCGGAAGCAGAGATTTTTGCATTCTCGCCAAACAACTGTTCCTCTCAGTCCGCCGCTGTGTTTCCCACCGGCAGCCTGGCATGCCATCCAGCCTGTAGCGAGGGAGGCGGACTCTTCCTGTCACTCCTGCGGTCCAAGATTTGCCGCCTGCCTGCCTGCCGGCTGCTCCTCAGGCAGTGCCTTTGTCCATCACTAGAGGGAGTGGGTAGCCTAAAGAATAATGAGGTGTATTATGAGCTGCGGGACAGGAGGACAGAGAGAAGTAGAGCGAGAGGGTGAGACTACTGATTATTCATTACTTCAGAGCCGTGGGCAGCTTCACTGAACATCCTTAATGATGACTATGCTGCCTGTTGTATATGTAGAGCGTGGCCAGATGGTGGCTATACTTGACAAATCCTGTAGATACAAATGTCTTGCAAATTGGCAGATAAAACCTATTTTGTGATTAAAATTAGTTTATATGTCTGTGTTTGTGTGTGATGGATGGGAAGAAGGGGAGACACAGAGTCAAATAGATGAATGCAAACAACAAATGATACAAAAGACTCTGTCCTCTCAAATCTGTTCCCTCCTGTTCCTCAGAAATAGATCAGCCCTGCTCGTCTCCGAGCCTGTTGGCTGCCCTTTCACAGCTCACTTGCAACACATGAAAATGTTTATGTGGCCTTAATTGAATTTAGAGCTACATGGTTTACCAGATAGAAAAGCATGTGTAGAGCAGGCTGCTACAAGAGAGATAATCCGGCTAGTAAAGATGTTCTCTTCTGAAGCCTCTTCTCTGCTTTTAAGGAGCTTTGTTTGAGCCAACACTTGGAGAGGGGATTCAAGTAGAGCCAGATGTTGTAGCACTGGCATTGGGATACAGCGGTCACTAGACGGAATCGGATTTCATTGTGTTATTTTATTGATTTTCACAGAAGAGATATGTGCTAATGCTTTCGATTTTTTTACCCTGTTAAACACGAGTGCTTACCCTTTGGGGCAAGGCATCTGTTGAATTTGGTGCAGTTCTTCCAGAGGATGAACTGCAGTCATTTTTGTGACAACACGACAATTGACATCAACCCAACATTTTCTGATATGATAATGATAATATTTATAATATCCAACTGTCAGACTTTCAATCCAATCCAATCCACTTTATTTCCATAGCACATATTAAACAACAGAGGGTTTACCAAAGTGCTTCACAGCAAACATATCATTATAATAAAATATAATATTACAATAATAGATAAAAGGCACACATAAGAATGAATACAAGGTACACAAAGGCTATGGACAGACAATAAAAGCATAAAATCGATAAAACATAACTCAAACTGACTCGAAAGCGAGGGAAAAGAGGTGGGTCTTTAGGCGGGACTTAAAGAGCAACTTCTAGGTTAAAGACACCTGTGAATAAATGTGTAGGAAAATGATGAATACACTAGATTTTCAAAAAGATATACAGAAATATACACAACAGTGACATCTGGCGTCGTTTTTGTAAGAAATGTTCACTTCCGCCTAAAAAAGCCTCGGCACGTGACCTCCCGCGTGTGACGTAACACGGGGAACACAAGGGGGAGAGCGGCCAGTGTAACGTATTAATCCCAATGCTAGTTTCGACACAGAAGACACAGAGGAAGTTGAACATGAATATTCGAATGCATATGACGGACCATAACCTTATAATTATGAGCCTGCTAGGCGTCCAAGAGACCAGGAGCAGCCAAGGATTAGAAGAAATAACGGCCATCGGAGAGAAATTGAGCTGTGGTGTGAGGAGAACCAGTGGAGAACTGGGCAGCTATCTTGGTGAGTGACCGGCGTTAGCTACAGAAAGTTAGCTATCATATATCAGGCTATAACTAAAGTAGCATTGATAATATAGTAACGTTACTGGCAGGACTGTTGATACTGATCAATAACAGAAACTAATGCGCAAGTATCAGCCGTATCTCGCATTACCTAATGCAAATCCACACTACGTTTTACGGTGCTGTGTACCGGAGGGGAGGGAGAGAGTAGCGAAGGAGGGGGAGAGAGACGTTTTGTTTTGTAGGTGCTTGTGTGGGGAATGCCAGCCCATGACCTCAGCTGTGGAGAGCATGTGCTGCAGGGAGGTGGATCCCTTCTGGGCCCTGGTGGAGAACCTCACCCCCAGACCAGACATAACATGCCTGACACTGCACCCAGGCTTTGAAGCATGCTGTCTGAATCCTTGTGCTACAGATAGCCTACATAAACTCCAGGCAGGAGCATGGCCCGCTTCAGGCCAGCAGACATGAGTATGTTTAGATTACAATTAAAAAGATAAATACTATTAAAGATAATACAGTTGCTATTGACCTGGGTGTTTAAGCAGGTTTCAAACCCAGACCCTGTAAGATGTATACTATATAACACTTGTTGATGATGTTAAACAAGCTATCAATGTTCCTGTAGATATTGTGTCCTATCCCAGGCGATACCGCCTACACAGCTTACAGGCAGGTCATCCGCTGGGCCTATGGAGTTCTAGGCAGTACCATTAGGAAGCCCTTAACCTTCATGTGTTGTGTCTGCCATCAGAAAACGATTTCTCAGAAGAAGGAGGAATTTACAAAGGCTTTGAGTGGCCTCATTTTGGTCGTGATCAATACAATTAATCCAATCATAGTGTGTTCGCACTATGTGTTCGCATTGCCAAACATGCATTTCCAAACATTTTGTCTACCTATGCTGTAAATGTGGTATTTTTCGAATTTACACAAATAAACATTTGATTGATTGATAGATAGGTGTCTTTTCATTTTAATAACCACCAATACGTATTTGAACACTCCCTCTCGATCGATTACAAAAAAAAAAAATAGTATGGCCACCCTAATACACCAATGCAGTTTTTAAAGATATACTTTTTCAACACAGAATCATTTTAACAATTACACCATATCCAATCATTGTACGAGTCAGAAAATGCTATCTGTTCTTGCAAGTTATTGTTTATTGATTAGATTACATGCCTCAACATAATTATGTAGAGTACAAGTCACAGCCAGAAATTTTATTTGCATATCATTCATTTATGAATATGGAATTATTTATTTAGATTATTATTATCCGCTCAACGAGCCTCGCCTGCCTCCTGTCAGCATGAGGAGTAAATACAGCAGCAAGCTTTGGGACTGCCCAACATCTTTATGAACAGAGAAGAAAATATTGTTATGTATATATTAATTGATTTTGCCACATCAAAATCTCTTACCAGTTTTATCTAGAACAACAAACAATGTCAATGAATAATTTATCGTTACCTGAAACTGTGAACCACGCCATCTGCTGGTTCTCCACTCATTTCTGCTTAACGGGATGCGTGCCAGATAAAGCCCAACTGCTCATACCTTGCGCATTCTCCTGGCAGGAAGTGGAAGGGGGGCAGTGGCAGGGAAGGACAGACTGCCTGCTCTCTCGTTGGTCTCTGGTGACACCTGGAGTGCCCTCTCTCAGAGACTTCATCAGGGCGCAGCGTAGCTGAAGGAAGGAAAACATTGATCACATTCGAGATATTATAGATGCATCACACATATATCATATTTTAGGGACGAGGTAAACAGCTAACCGTATGGATGCTTCTCCTTGATGGGCGAACTACCAGCACTTTGCAGACCTTGGGTAGCGAACTGCCATAACGCACCTGCACCATCAACTGGTCGGCAACCTCTCTGCTGCTATTCGTGGTTAAGTGCAGGGCTCGCCCATGAGAAGCCTGTAGAAAAGCAGAATTTTAATATGCAGTTCATCACAGTTGTTTGTACATAGTGCAATAAACTGTTTAACGTGATAGCATTAGTCGGGGTTTAACTTCGTATTGTTCGTTAACGTTAAATGGTTATTATTAACATCCTAAAGCCGTACACATTATTCACCATCACATCATATGTTACCTGCTGTACATCCAAGGAGGAGAACCCAGTGTGCTTTGGTGCATAGTGGAGGGGGGTTGAGGGGTGAATGCCCCCAGGAATAGCTGATCTGTGGAGACAACTTCCGACATCCTTCACCAATGCTGTTCTCAAGAAAAGTCACCCTCTCGCAGTTTAATGGCTGCAGTTGTTCCTGTACACAACACATTTTTGTTCTGATGTTACTAGAATTGTCCTACATATGCATTTATTACCTACACTGATAAAGCACAGATCAAGCAAGATTGTGTGTTACTATCAGGTGTTATTTATTATCACGGCCTTGTTTATGTGTAGCCCACTTTGGTTATATATTGATGGAGTGCTGTGGAACAAAATAAACTAAGCACCAACACAGCACTTGGCACGAGCTAGATGTTTTCAGCAACAAAGTGCTACAGAAGTACGTTGTACTGGTTCCAGCCACTCCTTGTCCCTGCTTCTCCTCCAGAGTGGATGTGCACAGCAGGGAATGCAGTAGTGCCGTGTTCATGATGTCCTGAACATGATTCACCATTCACCATACTTTGCCACTTCGCTCCATCACAATCTGGATCTGCCTCAAGAGTGGAAGCTGCAGTCCAGTACAGGGTGATTAATGATGGCTGGCCTCACAGCTTCAGGTCCTCCACTCCCTTCCTTTGCAGCAGCATGCCAAAGGCTTTCACTAGACCTGTTTCACCACAGAACAAAATGTTTAAACCAAAGAAAATGTAATTATAAACAACATTTCAGGCGCTATCAAACGCTACCAACATCAAGATACATACTTTTACCCAATATGCCAGATATCAAAGATGAACTCGTTCTCCTGGAACAACTCCTCCACCCACTGCCAACCTAGAGCTGAAACATAACCTCGTTCATTTGGGCTTAGCTAACTAGTAAAGAATGCTTTTTTTGCGCTTGGTTAATATTGGTGCGCCAAGAATCTTGCTGTGTACATATGTCTGTTCGTTCTTGTGTGTCTTTAATTCCTGGGCGATTTCGCGTCCGTATTAGGGCTGAATCTTGATTGTGTTGCTCTTAAGGAAGTCTCACTACTGCGTTTCAGAGCCTGCCTAGTTCACATCCACCAGGTTGGCTGCTCTGGATCGCTCTTGAGCTCATGCTATACACACATTATGTGCAGTTCCTATCAGCTAACCGTGTCAGCATGCAGACATCTAGTCTCTGTCGTCGTGCACTGTTCTCGCTCTCCTGCGTGCTACGATACGCGAAAATGTGCACATTCTGTCTTGAGGTCACTGATAACGTCTAACTTTAGCACTATGGTCAGACGTTGAAGCTCTCCGTTATGCGCAAAGACGTCTTGTTCTAATATACCTGTACTCCCCGATCAACCGGAGTAGTGTGCCATAGTTTGGGCCCACAAATGGGCCCAGGAGAGTCCTGACCTATGAGTGTCANTGGCTTGATGGAAAGCAGTTGTGTAGTCGGGGAGGGTGCACAGCTGATTGCAAAAAATACCAGCTCACTAAAACACAACCGCTCAACACAACGCAACTACTAACTATACCCGCAGTCAGAGAGCGGAGATGTGTCCCCTTTGTGATGTAATATGACGCGTTTGACGTATGACCTTAAAAAAAGCAGTTTTTAAGAGCAGAGCTCAAAATTGCTCCTTTCCCTCTGAATTCCTGCCCTTGTGTCTCGTAAAACATATCAAATCCTACACTTTTTTAATTGTAATTTTCAAGCAAGTTTAAGCATAAATGTAGAAAAAAAAAAAAACCTGCAAGATGCTCTTTAAAAGTTTGGATGGTGGGCGACAATTTGACATGGGGGGGCAGGTCGTTCCAGAGCCTGGGGGCTACCGCTGAGAAGGCTTGGTCTCCCCTGGTCTTTTTCTTGGTTTTAGGGACTACAGTACCAGCAGCAGCTGATCAGCCGACCTCAAAGCCCTTGAGGGGGTGTACACCTGTAGGAGGTCGGAGATGTACTGAGTGGCCAGCCCATTAAGCGATTTAAAAACAAACCATAACATCTTAAAATGAACTCTAAAATGGACAGGAAGCCAGTGGAGGGAAGCCAGAATAGGTGTGATGTGCTCATGCTTGCGTGTTCCTGTAAGCAGACGAGCTGCAGCGTTTTGTACCAGCTGCAGGCGTGCCAGCGAGGTCTTGTTTAGGCTGGCATAAAGTGCATTGCAGTAATCTAGACGCGTAGAAACAAAGGCATGGATTACACACTCAAAGTCTAAACAGGATAACACCGGTTTCATTTTGGACAGGAGCCTCAGGTGATAAAAACTGGACTCAACCACAGAGTTGATCTGTTTATCCAATTTAAAAGCACTGTCGATTTTGACGCCCAGATTTGTGACCATGGGTTTTGCATACGGTTGCAGGGAACCCAGGTCAATGGAAGGGACATCACCATTTGGTCCAAAGACAATGGCCTCCTTTTTGCTCTCTATATATACAGTCAACCAGGAGCATCAGAGAGCTGGTGTTTTATCGTTTCTGCCTGCATTACTGCTTCCCAGAGGATGTACCATGTCATTCTTGGCACACCTTAAAATGGATAACCGTCTTATAACATGCTGAAATTAATCAGGTTACTAAAGAAACAAGAGAGAAAATGAATAGATGATAAATACATGTGTGTGTATATATATATATATATATATGTCATTCTTGGCACACCTTAAAATATATAAATGGGCTTCGTTCTAGGTGGCGCTTTTGATCCCTTCTTCCACGCCCATTCGCAAGACACCTTTTTTGCGTTAATTAGTGCCAGCCATTAGTTTTTTTCTTTTTCTGTGTCTCAAGTGATTAGACATGGCAAGCACAGCAATCCCACCACAGAAAATGTCCTGGTGTAATTCACCAATGACCATCACTGGGCTGTTTCATTTAATCAATCTGTGAAAAGTGAAAAACACTGGGTGATGTCAAGAAGGCTTGACATTCAAACCCATATATTAATGATTTCCTTGTTTAATTTTACCCCTGACTTCTTCATATTGGAAATATAGAAAGGATATAGTGTCGAGAATAATTAGGATCTGGATATTTGTATAAAAAGTATGCATGAATGGAACCAATCTATCCTAGCAATATGGCCCTATTTGGCATTGCTGCCTGTCATGTCTTATTTTCCTGCAGAAAGAATGTCAACAAGTGAGAGAAGCCTTTCAGAATATTCCTATGATATTACTTCTCATGTCATCTCCATGCCAACCACGACACGCATGAGTCCCCTCTGCCACTTGGGGCGTCTGAGTTGTCAACACAAGTTCAAAGGTCAGGGGAAGTTTGGTCACCCCCCCGCCATTGCGCTGAATGATGGGCACATGGCGCATTACAGTGCTGATAGGAGGGCAGACAGGTGACGGGTCAAACCAATCAATGACATATACGGGGGAGTTACACTGCAGCAAGGTACAAAACGAAGTATAGATGATTCTCTAAGTCTGCACAAGCACAGCACCCTAGTTGTTCATGGATATTTAAGACTATCTAAATTAAATCTTTCCTGGCTGTAATAGAGCAATTTCATTTCTCAGTACAGTTATTGGGTAATTTAATTCTTTCCAGTGAGGGTAATATCCTCAAATGAACTGAATAACTGCAACACATCCACAAAAGTGTTCAGAACAGAGACTAAATGAGGAGAAAACCATGCCAATGGAAGCACACATTTTAGCACTTTAGTCAAATGAGCATCTAGTTAGACGCATATCAAACATGTTGCTGTAATAGCCGCTTTGGTACATATTGAACAAGTTTTTTCACACCTGTGCAAACACTCTGGTAAATACACAAATCTCTCAAAGAAAATTAAGCCATATTTTATATTTTCTTATCAGCTGGATATCAAAGAACCTTAATCCAAAGCAGGCTATATTTCCCGCCTCGGTCTGAGGGAGGGGGTCTTATGAATCCATTTGAAAGAATCTGAATATGGGAGTCCAGGGAGCATCATTTGTTGCTCTGCTGCATCCAGGCATCACGGAGTGGGTAATTCAGCCGAGTGGAAAGTGTTCCATCAGGAGGCAGACAAAGAGCGAGCCAACATGCAAAGCTCCCACACATACTCAAACCTTAGATGCAACGTTGAGTCAAGATTATAGATAATTACAGCAGGAGCATGACTC